GGGGTTTCAACCCCTCTCCCCCTTTTGGGGGAGAGGGATTGAATGGGCTATCTTTGATATCCCATAGTTGTGCGAATTTGCGTTCTTCAGTTTGGCTAGTAAATCTGAAATCCCTGCCCTAGGAAAAGAAAGAAGTTATGGAAGTTTCCAGTCGGTGGAATCCAGAGACATTCATCAGCATGGACTCGCGGAAGGACGGAAGACATCCCTCCCGACGGAGGGACAACGGCTGAAATCTCCGAGATGGTGGATTGCACGAGACTCGTTCATCGCGAATGTGGAATGTACAGTGAGATAGTGTCCAAGTTTCGACTGTCCCTTGCGAAATATCCACCTTGGGTGAGTGATGGAGTGAAAGAGGATTTGGAATCGGGTGGGTCGTCTCGCCTGGTGGGTGTCCCACCTGGTGGAAATCCACCTCGGCCACTTGTAATCCACCCGAGTATCATTCTCGAAACGATGAAAACCACAACTGACACTTCGTGAACAAATCGCATGTGAGCCGCTATTGGACCTGTTATTGAGGGAATGGCACAGGTGAGTCGTCCTTAAAAGGAACACTACACAAGTGATAATTTCAGATTTTCACCGAACTTTGGTCGTTGAAAGGGCTCTCAAAACGAAGTCAAACGGCACCAAAGCTTGTGGCTGAGAAACCGGTTTAGGCTCATAACTGGCTCTCTCGATTTTCAGTGATCATTATAGTCGCTGGCAAAGACGTATTAAGGCCCCTCACGTCAGCGTGACAATATATATATATGTTTCCTATGTTTATTAAATTTCACGCTGCGATGATGAAAAAAATACCAGATATTACAAGAACCTGGATACTTTTATGACCCCACTGAAGGAAACAGAACTGAGAGATAGAACCGCCAGAGTTGAGAGAGAATGCACGGGAAGAATCTGGGGAGGGTTCAACGTCGATTCGCGGGAGGCGGTTGAGCGAAGAGGGAGACTAGGCGATGTCACTACGTCGCCTCGGTCGGGGGGTGGGGCACCCACCAGGTGGGACGTGATCCACCTCATTCCAAGTCCGCTTTTCGCTCCGTCGTCCACCCAAGGAGGATGCTTCGTAAGGGACAGTTGAAACTCCGACATCATCTCTCACTGGACATCCACATTCGCGATAAGCGCGTCTCGTGCAATCCACCATCTCGGAGATTTCAGCCTTTGTCGTCCGACATTAACGTATGAATTGAAAGGATCAAAAGTGTCCGAGAGCGCTACTTCACCAGTTGCAAAACGTTTAAGAATGAGCAGGATTCATCTGCTCTACATCGGAATTGATTTTTTTTTCCAACGAAAACCAGAGCAAAGCGAGTTTCTTTGAACAAAAGTCACTTTATCTCTAAAACGGGTAATAAAGCCTACAGAGGTTAACCTGTCACCATTTTTCACGTTTAGAAATGAGAAAAAAAGGGGGAACATCGAAGTTCCGGTGAAGAAATTATTCATTCGGACCGACACCTCCGACCAATCGGGAAGCTCTCTCGAAAGTGATCGAACCTCTTCACGACTTCCCAGCGGGACCCATCGAAGACTTCCACGGAGGGATTCGACGCTCCTCCGACGGCGAACGTTTTTCCTTCCAGGGGAACGAGACCGTGCCGATGCCGTCCTTCGGCCATGCTCGGTCGCTCCCGCCACGCGTTCGCTCTGGCGTCGTAGACGTAGGCGGCTCTTTTGGCGGCTCTTTTGGCGGCGCCGGCGGATCCTCCGGTCAGGAGGAGGTCGGCGTCTCGGGATGCGAGAGCGGGTTCGTCCGTCGTTTGGGGAAGCTCGGGGAGCTCTTCCCACTTCGGGGCGCGGAGGTCGAGTCGCTCGTGCTTCTTCGAGTCTTCCTCGTTCCAGCCGCCGACGACGTGGAGGCAGGAGCCGTGATGGCACGCGCCTGCGCCGCTTCGGTGGTGTCGCATGTCGCCGAGTCGCATCCACCGGCCCGACGCCACCTCGAAGCGGAACGCCCACCTCCGAATCGCGTCCTTTCCGTCGCATCCGCCGCAGACGAAGAGGGAGACGGGGGAGGCGGCAGCCGCCGGCCGATAGACGTACTCGGGGGGCAAGGGTCCTTCCTCCCACCTCCACTTTCCCACGTCGAACATCTTCATCTCGCCCATCCCAGTCAGGTAAAGTTTCCTGTCGATTCCGACGAAGGCGCGCCAGAATTCGTCCTCGCCGCTGTATGGATAGTGAGTGACCTCGTCCAGGCTCCAATCGTTCGGACCGATGCGATATATCTTCCACTCCTTGTTTTGCCTCCCCAGCCCCCAAAACACGTTCGAGAACGATCCACGAGACCTGGTCTTCTCCTTGGGGACGGCGTGCCGAAGCTCCGAATCGTGGAAATTCCTTGCATCCGTAATGGCACCGAGACACGATGGCACTCCGGAAACGCTCGGGTCCGCGAGGACCGCGGTCTGCAGGTAGTCGTAAGGCAGGAGAGGAAGACGAATTTTGTCCAAAAGATCCGGCAAATGACGTTGTCGGCTTTCGTCGTGATCTAACCATTTTCTCGTCGCTTCGTAAACTTCTTTCTCGGATGAGACTCCTAATTCATCTCGATCCAAGAACGACGCCAATGCCTCGAATGAGACACTCGGAAAGTCTTTCGTGTGGATCACCTCACCGAAATGGACCGAAATGAATCCATCGGCAGCTTCCCTTAAATCCTTGTCGCCGTATCGCTCAGCAGTTTTCAGTATTCGTATCGCATTGTCAGGATTCAGCAACGTCTTGATGGTCTTGCTCGTTTTGTGGAAGAGGCGTTTCAGCCCGAGGAAATGCGCATCTCGAAGAGTGGCCAATGCCCCTTCCTCCCCTTCTACCTCCACTCTCGTTCCGTGGATGTAATCCCAGACCGCCCCGAATCCTTTCGTGGTTACGCCTTCCAGTCTGATTTCCCTCTGGGAGGAGTCCTGGAAGTCGGTGGAGAACATCTGGCGGAAGTAGGGGGAGACGGAGGCGAGGATCCCCTTGCAGGAATAGAATTTGTCGTCTTGGATGAGGATGACGACGTCGCACCAGCTGGGTCCCGTCTTGAAACACTCGAAAATGTCCGTCGCAAGGCCGTTGTGATCGTCCAAGTCCTTCTCGATCACAATTACGCCATCCTTCAGTGCCGCACTTGCCATTTTCCCTCTCGAACTGAAATTCTTCTGGCCGTGCAGGGTTGGGCAAAAATCTTGTCGCAGTCAGATGAAAAAGCGGTTGCATCTGTTCTGCCGACGATTCACTGAAGGAAATAGCACCGAAGGAGCAAGCATTCAAAGGTTTGAACCTCAAGAAAGACCCAGGGATTCCGTACTTCCCCGTTCGTAATGGAATCGGGGAGAAAAATACGAGATATGATATCGCCGTCGCTATGGAAACAGATACAAAATACAGTAAAAGACCGTAAAAAGTGGTCGACGTTAATGTTATCAGTTTACTTTCGTCTTGAATCCTATCTACGCGAAGGCGCGATGACCCCAAATACGCAGGCGAAATAAAAAAATATTCAGTGCGCCCCCAAGCATTTATATTCGCACGTGTTCGAGACTCATCAGAGTCTCGAGAGCGACAACGCTGCCTTTTTGGGAGTCTCTCAGGGAGCATGCGGCAGCGGAGCACAAAAAATACGAAATGCGATTCTCGGTCTCGACTTCAAGTCGTTACCACTCGAAAACCAGAAATTAGTCAAGGTGCTTATTTTTCCTCGCCTGCTCCAGAGGGCTCACAAGGAAACCCTCTGGCCGGGGTGCTGAGCCAAAACGATTCGGTAAAGCTTTGGAGCTCCTGGAGCGTTATGAAAAATTTGTCAAGGACACATTGCCAAGAAAAAATAATCATCGACGAAATGACTCGTGCGTGTCATGACCTCGATTGAGTTCCGATGACGAAAGATTAATATCCTAAGATAAAACTCGTTTTACTCTATTGTGCATGTGAGGGGGGGGGGGGGGAATCCTACTAATTGCTCAAAACGAACTCCTTTTAGTTCGTCAATGAAATAGAGAATATTGACGTCAAATGTGCAAGAAAGTCGAGCGAAGTTTCAAGATCACAGGGTGAGGTGATGCAGAGGAATGGGGAAGCACAGCTTCACTGATTGTTCAACTGTGAAAACAAGCCATGAGGACATGTCCTAATTGTTGATCAAATATCATCAAGATCGCTCAACTTCTCTTAGAAGTTACTTTCGTTTGCCATGAGCACATCTTTACCTCGATACCACCGATATTTAACCTTCCAGACTAGAAAATCCTTTAGGTCCTATTCTCTGTGTACACCGTGAACAGGAAGAGAGAGAGCAGAACCTTGATATAGTTCAACACCTACCGAGGAAGAGGTCTTAGTGCAACCCGCTCACTGAAAAAAACAGCGGTTTTAAATGGGAGTCGTTCATCATGGAACTGATAGGTCTGAGAAGAATGAAATGGAGGAATTGGGAGTCACTTTGCTTGGAGGAGATGCTTCAAAGCATTTCGTACCATAATCTTGTCAGTTGCAGAAGTTCCCACGATATTCCCTACTCCTAGCATGATGTCTGTCTCTCTCCAACCATAGAAAGGACTGAGGTGATCCTGGACAGTGAAGAGAATCACATTGTACACTCATTCAAGGCATGTAAGTATGAAGTAGCATTGCATGCAAGCTCCAGTCATATGCAGAAGCACAGAATACTTGAGAAGCCTTAGTCCTTTTAACTTATCTGATCCAATGAAGCAATTTCGCTTTTAGTCTCCATTCCCTTTTCCTCTGTGACTGTTCCCTAATATAAGCAGAATCTCCTGCAGTGTCCATATCAAGGTGTTTCAATCCACATGCTTTGACCAAACTCAATACTGGATTAGAGTGGTGGGGTGTACCACACCCCAAGAAACTCATGCTTACATGCCATATTAATTTCACCACACTTGTCCAGGTCAAAGACTTTTTCTGAAGTCACTTCAATTGTTTCCACAACCATAATGACAATCATGCCTCTTAAATTATAATTTGTAAAATTGCTATCCAGGTTTTTGGGGGTAGAGGTATATTTACTTCAAGGAATGACATCCAATCAAAGCAGCATAATAATTATCACGACAATTCCTCATGTACTGCACAACATCACGAGTGAAGCAAATTTTCAATTCGCAATCAACAACACATGCTGGAAGAATGTTGCCATCTCCACATACTGAATAGTTCCACTACCAATGACTAGGGGATGATGGAATGGACTCTCAGCATCACAAAATGAAGATGGATCAGGAGATGGATCATGCAATCGTGTTGATGGAGGGAGGAGAAGATTCTGTGCTTGCGACCCAGCAGGACCTTCCAGGCCACAAGTAGAAAATCTTCACACGTTTCTGAAACTTTTCACATAATCACTAACTCTTCAAATGTGCAGCATATTCACATCCAAATAAAAGGAATGGAAGGTGTTGTGTCCATCAGGAATGATGTTTCTTCAAAGTTTGTCACCCATCTTCACATTGGCCATCTAGACAAACAAAATGAAACAGTGTAGAAAATAGGTACGGGTGCAATAAGCAGTCTAAGAAAGTGAGCCTCTGAATTCACATGTCTCAGTCTCTAACTACATTAATGCTGCCTGCACATGTGCTGAGTATTAACCTATTACAGAGGGAGCCTTTCCTATTCAATGCTTATATGTTTGCATAATACAAGAAAGAATGGAATGAAGAAAGCAAGCTTGTAGTCCAAAAGCATACCAGCATAACTTGTAAATAATGAAACTAAGAAATAGAAAAGACCGAGGTTCAGAGGATGCAGTACTTCACCAAGCATATTAAAAGAATTATGCAATACATAGCAGTCTGGATCATATTGAAAATAGTCCAAAACAAAGTGAGGAATCGATTTGAATTTTTTCTTTTAATGAGGAATAAATTTATTATATGTCACACTTTTCAGAAACTGTTAGAAAACTAAATGATCCTCCTACCTCTAAAGTTTGTCACTTTGAAATACAATCCCCAATGTGGTTCTGCACAGGTATTTTTTGTTGTTGAAGGATTTCACTGCATGCCTTATTTTTCAAGAACATTATTCAAGCAATAACTAAAAAAATTTCCTCAAATTTTCTGTAAATACTTGTCTTTGACTTTAAACTGCTTACCTTTGCAATAATAAATACGGGGGGGGGGAAACTTTTTTTCATAGAAACTGTATAAATGTCAAAAGCCAATTGAAGGACTTTGCATGATATTTCTGCATCATACCTATCAAGTAACATCATTCAATGATCACTCATCATAGTAAAAAGGTTTTTTTTGCAGAATTCAGTCTTTTTTTATTTGCAGATTAAACACTGACTGTGTGTTGTCAGCTTTGGAAGTCTTTGGGTATGGATACACAATGTTCCAAAGCACAAGTTTTGCTGAATTCTTTCAAAATAAAATAAATTCAAATACTAGGCTGTAACAAAAGTTTTTGTTCATAACTAAAAAATTTATTTCAACATCATTTTCTAAATAAAATTTTTTGGATTAGTACTGCTGCCAAATTGGACTAATTGCAGAAAGATGGGTGACAGTCATAGAAAATTATGGGCTTTATTTCAAAGAATAATATTTTTTATTGTTGTTTAATTTACTGTTAAATAAATTTTGTACTAGTATTTATGCACAAAAACTTTTGTTATTATCTAGTAGGCATGTTCTTGTCTTTTTTTCATTTTTCTCCAATTTCAATACAAATAAAATAAGAGAAGAGGTATTAAAAAAAGGTAATACATCCTGTTTAGCTGCTTCCATAAGAGTATGGAAGGAAAAACTACTCCACTATTCAGAATTGGTGCTGCCTCAGGTAACAGGAATGATCATGTAAGTTCAGGTGAGGGCAAACTTTTTCCACTGCAACATCTATGAAAGTCAATAGAATCTGATAATCATTTAGCCAAGGATGTGTTTTGCATGGGATATGTCATGAACTCACAAGCAGAATGGCAATAATGAGGCCAAACAGTCCAATAGCACTGCCAAAGATTTCAATGATCAAGATTTTGACAAAGAGAGCGCCATCAGCAGCATCAGCAAGTGCAGCTCCAGAACCTAAGAAGATGATAAACATAAGAGGGTGGTAAAGGTCAATAGATACTATGGCGAGAAACAACATAATATACATGAAATGAACACAGAATAGGATAAAACTCCTTCAAATATTTATCTCCTCTAGCCTTCCTGCTGAACTCAATGAAGGGATATATACATTTTAAACATATGAAAAAAAAAGTTGAAACCAAATTTCATAGGTATGGTACCCTTTCTTCAGGTAAGTGTCCAGTTAAGTTACCAAGTGAATCCCATGTCCCTCACAATACAAAATGCCACAGTAGAATTAGCAATTCATTCCTGCATAACCCATTCTATGCTGCTTGCTAGCATGTTTTCTGCTGGTGAACAACTGGTTCAGCACAAATGAGAGATCAATAGCTCAAGGGCATCAAATGACAGGAGAGGCCATAACTAGTCTTTCTTATGAGAATGAGAGATATGCTAAGTATATATACATAACCTGAATACATTGAAGAAATAAAACTTGTGTAACATGGAGAAGAGAGGCAGCTTGGGGAAGAAGCTTCCAGGTAAAGTAATGCTATATGTTTGCATTGAAAACCTCAGTGTGACCAGCATTTCTTAAAACATTTTTTTTAATGAAAAATAATAAAGCACATGAATAAAAAATTTTTAATTAGTAAACTCTGGAAATCATGAGAGAGGATATGAGGAATATTAAGAATATTAAAGAATATTATTATTATGAGCAGAATTACTTGATACTTAAGGAGTAGGAAGAGAAATGAAAACACAGGAATCAAAAAGAAAAAGAAAATTGACCTCTTGACCATATTGACCCTGAATAGACCTTTTCTCTGTCTTTCCCACTGTGCTTAAAGCCTAAATGGAAATCAAGAATTAAGAGAAAGTGTGTCTGAAACTCACCAACAAGGCCAACAGCAATCCCACAGAAAAGATTTCCGAATCCATTTGTCAGACCTGCACCAAACATTGCATATCCTGACAGCCAGTTCTGTTCCCTCAGCTTTTGAGACTCCAGTGTGTGGCCGCTGACCTTATCCAGGGAAAATGTCTGGCATGGTAAAAAAAAAAAAAAGAAAAAGAAAAGGGATCAATAGCAATGTAGAATAGTGTACAAAGTGCATTAGCATTTTTCATTGTATAGCACCTGCCAAAACTGGGCATTTTCAAAGGCAAATGTTTTATGTAGGTTAAAATGGTATTTAGAATTGAACAAGACAAAACAAATGGACTCCTTCATTTAATCGCAAAAATTTTCAGGTATACCTTCAAGCATGATATGATAGGAAAGAACTCTAGCAAATAGGAAGTCATTCAAGACATTAACCTCCTTAGTATTTACCCTAAAGCAGTCAGGTGGAAGGTCTTATATATAATATGTTCAACATATTTCCAGCTAAGTCAATAAAAAATTTCCCCCTTTGGTTATTTATGCACTGTATACATCTGCGTCATGAAAGACAACCTTGGCAAGAGAAAAAAAAGAGCACTGGAGTGAAAATAATTGAGTATGAAAAAGAGCACTAAGGCAGTTGAAGATTTGTTAATCTGACATGGCCATAGAGATAAATTTTCTCACATACTTGGACCATCCCAAATTTAGGGAATGAGAATGGAGTGATGTAGACTTTTCCCACCTGCCTAGAGACACTTATTCAATTATTTATTATTATTTATACATGAGTAAATCCATGGTTGAGAATTATAAGGAATGGAGACAAAACTCACATCTATCATGCCTGTGATGACAATGGCAATGATGAGGCCATAAATTGCAACAGCCTCACAGAAGATGATGGAGATCAAGTTCTTAGTCTTTATACGGGGGGCTCTCACACCAGCTCCCATGACACTTGCCCCAGTGGTATAGATTCCCCTAAAAAAAAAATAATTTCTTTTTACTATCTCCTAACCAAATAAATGATCAATCAATTGACAAATAGAGGCACAGGCAAATGCAATAAGGCAAAGCCAGTGCCATGTTTTAAAATTTTATTCTTTTTTCCCCAAGCAAGTTTCGTTGCTCATGCATTAGACGTTCATTCCTTTAGAGTAGTCAGCATGTTTCCAGAGATAGAATTGAGCTATAGTGAATAAATGTATCATCACCTAATAATGCCATTTGTACTGGAGGTTAAGTTACAGATAGTGCAAGACATGCAGATATTTCTGCAAGAGCAATAAAAAAAAGTATGCTAACTAATATCAAGCCTTTCATATTTTCAACACCAAATAAACATGGAAAACCAATTTAACAAAACTGAAACATTTATTAAAATGCTAGGCATCCTTGTGATTTTGACTTGTACTGCAATGAAATTATGTTGAGGTAGTCAATGTTAAATATGTTCTGGTGCAGTTTCCACAGCAGTCTATGATATACGCAATGCACCAAAAAAAAACTCATTAAATTGTGGCTTTGGTGAGTTTGGAAATACTTATTTCACACTCACTATAGAAGAGTTTTCCCATGCTATTAAGGGTGTCCATGTTCCTAAAAAGAACTCTGATGTACAGAGCAGTTCTTCTAGAATATATCTGTTCTAGACTTCAAGATTACTTCATGAGGATGACACTTCAGTCAAATTTTACCCAAATCTGGGTAGTACACTTTTGACCTGCCATTGACCAGCTAATTTCTAATCAAATGAGTCTTGAATTATGCAAATGATCCAAAATAAAGATATAAGTCTACTCACGTAGCAGCTCCGATGACAGAAAGTGAGACAGAAAGTCCAATTCCAAGGCCAGCCCACATATATGGAGAACTTTCTGCTAGAAACCAGCCAAGGTCCAACCTTGAACCCTGTCCAGTAAAGACATAATAGAGGCCTGCAAAAATAAATAAAAAAGAAATGCATTTTCGTATGGCATTAATTTCAATCACATACATTAAAGGAGGATTAAAGAACCTCATCTAACTATAGCTGTAGGCCTAGAGCCAGTAACATCGACTTTCTTCCAACATTCTACATTCTCAGAAGCATCATACTGAGACACTCCTAATGCTCACTTACTATGTACTCCTGATGAGAAAATAAGCTTGTGTGATAGTCCTATCTCACATATACAGCTACCAAGTAGATGCTAATATAACAAAGAAATTCTTAGACTATTCCACGAAATCAGAAGTAAAATCTGACCAACCAATGAAAGTAAGGATGGCCACCACAGAGTATGCCAGAGAGTGGATGGTGTAGCGCATCATGTAGTCCTGTTTCACCTCCATCTTGTATCAACAGGTGTCTTCTGTACCAGTCACAAATGTTGAGAACAGAAATAAGAGTAAAAGGAGTTTCCACAAAGTTCTTGAACAATGCTCAAGTCACTTTCAGCTATTCTGACAATAGGAGCATCCTCCCAGCCAGATGAAAAATGGCTAAAATACTGTCACTTCATTTTCATACTGGTATCCAATCCATCTCAAACTGCAAAAAGAAAGATAGAGTAATTGTCCATCCACCTAACACTACTACCAGGCCTACCATAATTGACTTAACCTAACTATATTAAGCTTCACTGCAATGGTCATCTTTAAGCCTATCAATCAATCAGCCTTCTGTAGCATTGGAATGAAGGTTGTAGCTAAGGTCACTTCAAGGGTAATTCATGGATCTGTTGCTACAGCAGATATTGTGACTTGTTTGACTTCTTGGGATCATCATATATATGTTAATTGTTGTAAGCCTGCATGATATTCGGCAGAGATACCATTAGCATATGGTAAGCAACCTGATGGAGGGGCTTCTCAGTCAGAGAACTTATACATGGTCCGCAGTGTTAAAAAAAATGGGTTTCTCTTCATGAATCCATATCCATGATAACACACTTTACTTGGCTTTTACATCAAACCATGAGTAAGGACATCTATCCATGGTATAGGCTACCAAAGCAATAAAAAGGGCCTTCCCTGTTAGACCTATGATGCAATTCGCTTGCTCTCTCTCTCTCAAACTAATCAGATCCAATTCTGCTGAATTAAAAGGAAACCTCAAACCTATCATTCCAGCCAAATGCAAGGGGAGGATTTACAATGAACTTGAAAGTTTTCAGATTGAATCTAAGGACTCAGGTTACCTTCTCGGAAGTACCCTTGCTGAGTTCAAAAATGAACTTTTTTAAACTGATACACTGACTTTCAACCTTTTACATAACACAAAAATGTTAGAAAACAATGCTCACAGTAAAATCCAGTAAAACCTACGCACCAGCCTCGTGTTACTGATATGGAGCCCTAAGCATTTTTATGCAAAATGGCAGGCTTAAGATAGGCCTATGCATGTGAAGTGTCCTGCAAGCAACTCTGTAAGTAGGAGTTTAATACAACAGCTGCCATGAAAGTGTTTTTGACTTGAATATAGCAATTTTTCATTTGATTCAGACACGTGCATGGGACTTTCCACATGCATTACTGCCAAAGTCAAGAAAAAAAATTGCTAACTCAAATGTAAACACTGTAGGATCACCAGTGATATCTGTGGCATCACTTCAACACTTTCGTTGAAGTGATGGGTGTGTGTTATGGGTGGTAGCCCATGTGTTAATGCATGAGACAGGTTCCTACCATGATCTTTTATACTGTGCATGCTGGACCTGAAGATGACGTGGTGCGGCCAATTAGTTTTGTTTTTCTAGATGGATTCTCAATGAGTGCCCCTCATTTGTTACGGTGAACAACTTTAAACCTTCCCCTTTCTCTTTTCTTTTCTGAGGTTAGTTAGCTAGAATTGGTTTAGGTTTAGTGAAAACCCAAAAGAGTTGAAACGTTAGTCAGAGTATCGAACCCCAAAGTGATTATGCTATTCAGTGGGAGCATAAGCAATGGTGATTACTGTTCCAACGAAAATGGGCATTCCCTAGGTTGTAAAGTTGTACACCGTCCCCTCACTCATTTGTAATGAACGAAGCGCCACGAAACTTGAGCTCCCGCGCTCTGAAGCTCTTTCCTCATATAATATTAATGTCCATACCCATATTTTTCATTCTGGACCATTCACAGGTCACTGTCAGATCTATGCAACATATGTAACAGGAGGAAGAACAAGGCAAACCACCGGAGTTCATGGAAAGAGACGATCGCAGCTGCAGATGGGCAAGTGCGCAGCCATGAGTGAAAAAACCTGTTACCAGTGCTGCCGAGTCCTTCGGCTGAAACCCGGGTGAGCGAAGCCCACAGATCGGATGAAGCCATCATCGCCATGATCCACGAGGCTGCTCGAATCACGCCAGACGTTTTCTCATATATTCTGAACTGAATGCAGGCATACGGCCTGGAGAATGTGAACAAGCACGGGACGAACGCGTAACGTATCACGTGTCTCAGGATTTGCCTCGACGAATGGGATCATAAGATCCATTTCAGTCCTTCCAATTGCCTCGTTTGACAAGGGAGGGGGACCCAGAGAATTTCGAGGTGAGAAATTGCAGTCTTACTGGATCCTGCCGATGACGGGAGAACGCCTCCGGCTCCTCTCCTCGCTCTCCATTCCGAGGAAGAAGGCAATTGAAAGGCGTCAGTCACTCTCCTGCGACTGCGAACGCTGGACAGGGGTAAGTGCCGTTCTCGACTTCTAATTTAACAAGAATCGGCAGGGGATTTTGCCCCTCGCTAAATTCGTCGCGGAAACTCGATGAAGAGGCCTTTTTCCGAAACTAGGCCTAAAAAAAAAACCTGGGTAAAGGCGCCATCACACGCTATGATTTTGCTCTCATGTGACCGAGTGAATTTACTATTAAATTTACTATTAAAAAAAATATACGAGTGAATTTGCTGTGAGAAGACCTTGTGAGTTTTCAGCGTGAAACTTTTTGACTGCTTGGACTTGTTACCGGTTGGCACTTTATCGAGGCGGGTTTCCCCATCGTTTCCGCGCTCTTCTGCTGATGAATACCACCACAAAAACCGAAAGAATCCACATAGATGAGCAAAATAAAAAACGTGCGATTTCGAAAGGGAACTTTTCCCTTGTCGGATGATCCCTATGGAAAAATGCAGTCGAAGCAAAGCAATATATGTTGATTCATTCATTCATGAATCATCGTGTCAGCCTTGGGAAGAGCCAGTGAATCAAACTTGAACGAATCAGAAGCGCAAGGCAGTTTCGCATGACCAAGCCCTTTTTATTTTTTACTTTTTACTTTTAGTATTATTATTATTATTGTTTAACAACTCGCGACGAAAATCCGATGAACTCGGACGCCCGCGACCCCCAAAAGAATCTCCGCGGGAAAACGCGGCGACGACCGAGGCCCCGCGGTTCCTCCCAGAACAAAGGCGAAAAAGGATTTTCCCGCCCTTTTTCCCGACGGGTTGTGACGTCATCCGGGGCGTCTGCTTCTTTCCCTTCGTCTGGATCTCGAAATTGCCTGTAACTTTTTCAACTTTTTTGTGCAGAAAAATACGCACGTGAATATGCAAATCAGCTCCGTAACTTTCAGGCACAGTTACAGTTACAGGTATTTGGTAACGGCAACGGTAACGGTACCAGTAAACGCAACCGACAGTAACGAAAGCGCAAAAGAAAGTGTTGGAAATCGTTCGCCGCGGCAGGAGGCAGCGAGAAAAAGCCGAGTCGCATCGACGCGAATTCGAGAGGCAAGCTGCGAATGGGCAGATCGGAGCCTATATTCAGGTTTTTTTATCGTTATAATATGTATTAATATTATAATATGTATCAATATAACTTATAAGTGCATTGGATATAACTGCAAAAAAAAGAAACAATATACGAGGAGAACGTAACTCACTAAAAAAAAATTAAACATTATGAGAAAATGCAACTCGTTACGCCTCAAGTTAATAAATAAAAGTTTTACAATAACGTTACACTGACTATATGAGAAATAGTAACAGTTACCGAGTGACGCGTTCCCGTTACTCGATAACTGCCCACCACTGCCAATCAAGTTTCGAAGACGAAAGAAAGACCCGGAATGGAAAATAAGTGAAATTGCGGGCCCACCGTCTCGTTCCGACCGGGCGCGAGCTCTCGGTTTAAATAAATAATATTAAACATAAATATTTATTCCAGTCCGAGAGCTAATTTACTATTAATACTAATTTTCGTGCTGAAAAAAAGAGACTCTGCGACTGCCATTCTGGCGATGGAGTGAGAATCGGCGACCGATCTTCGGCGCAAGCACGCAGTGCTGTCGGATGTTCCATTCAAATCCGCAATTTCACGATGTTTTTCCCACGAAACCTCCAGCATCCCTCGAACGTCGAAAAAATTGATAAAATTATTGATAAAAAAAAACTTATCGTCATTCTTATCGCGATTCGAAAAATCGAAGGGAATTCTAAAAACGCGAAAAAGGGGAGTGAAAAACTCATGGTGGAGGAAGGGAAGAGTCGGAGCACAAGAGTCGGAGCACAGGAGTCGAAGCACAGGAGTCGAAGCACAGGAGTCGTGGGAGCGACGCCGCGACACCCTCCCCCTCCCCGCAGCTCAGAGGCGAAAGGCGTCTCTCTCTGGGTCAGATGATCTCTTTGCATCCCGCTTTCGTCATCGCGATCCCATGACCGGGCGGAGGGAGGACTCATGAAAGTCAAAGCGGGAGGACGCTGGGCATCGAGATGCCTTCGAGCTTATGGATGTCTTGATGGATGTCTCGGTGGAGGGCTCGGTGGAGGGCTCGGTGGAGGGCTCGGTGGAGGGTTCGGTGGAGGACTCGGTGGAGGGCTCGGTGGAGGGCTCGGTGGAGGGCTCGGTGGAGGGATCGGTGGAGGACTCGGTAGGGGGATCGGTGGAGGGATCGGTGGAGGACTCGGTGGAGGGCTCAGTGGAGGTCTTGGTGGATGTCCTCGCGGAATGGAAGGGTGTCGGTTGGAGCGAGCGTGAAGCACGGCAGGGAAATTGTGCAAAAAAAAAACACAATAAGAAAGTGATTGAAGGCACGGAGCGTGAAGAGGAAGAGCTTGTCTTTTTATTCTATATCTTCGTGACGTCACAGAAGTCTGTTAAAATATTTAAAGGGACAAAGCTTATCATCCTGGAAAGAAAAAAAATCGCTCCCTTCAAGTAATAACGCTTGTCATTGTTTTTATTTTATTTATGGATTTAAATATTTACGGCACAAGGTGCAAGGCTCCAGTCGGGGCGTGAAAAGCGAGTCGGGGCGTGAGATCAGTCGGGGCGTGAAAAGCGAGTCGTGAACATTGAGACGTCGAGATCGAGTGTGGTTTCTTATCCGTTCCCCCATCCGAGATGGGCCCATAGGTCAGAGATTTTGGGTGGAAATGTCTCAATCTTTTCGTCTTATCGCACCCTTTGTCCTTTTCTTGACCTTTTCCTTTAACTCTCAACTTCCAATTGAAATTAAACTCAAAATTTATTCCATCCGCTTACCTAATCGTCATAGTAATTATTGGTAAGTGTCGCTTGCGAATTTTCATTAAATTAAATGGTATACAAATTAAATTACAGATAGCTCCAGCAAAGGTAATTGGTAAGCGGATGGATTAAAAGGGAATCAAAAATGAGCCATACCAACCTGATCTGCTCAAATCGGAGCCTTCGGTATCTCCACGCTAAAAAGGCGAATGCTGATGAGGAAGAAATGGTAAAGGGCTCCAAGCAGCCCGACTGTTCCCCTTTCACCGCCCGACGAGTAAAAATGAGAGTCGCAAATGGGGGGAGGGGGGGAGGGGGGGGGGGGGGGAGGGGGGGAGGGGGNAAGCGAGTCGTGAACATTGAGACGTCGAGATCGAGTGTGGTTTCTTATCCGTTCCCCCATCCGAGATGGGCCCATAGGTCAGAGATTTTGGGTGGAAATGTCTCAATCTTTTCGTCTTATCGCACCCTTTGTCCTTTTCTTGACCTTTTCCTTTAACTCTCAACTTCCAATTGAAATTAAACTCAAAATTTATTCCATCCGCTTACCTAATCGTCATAGTAATTATTGGTAAGTGTCGCTTGCGAATTTTCATTAAATTAAATGGTATACAAATTAAATTACAGATAGCTCCAGCAAAGGTAATTGGTAAGCGGATGGATTAAAAGGGAATCAAAAATGAGCCATACCAACCTGATCTGCTCAAATCGGAGCCTTCGGTATCTCCACGCTAAAAAGGCGAATGCTGATGAGGAAGAAATGGTAAAGGGCTCCAAGCAGCCCGACTGTTCCCCTTTCACCGCCCGACGAGTAAAAATGAGAGTCGCAAATGGGGGGAGGGGGGGAGGGGAGGAGGGGAGCCTGATTCAAGCTTAAGTTAAGCGAATGATCATCTGGGTTTTGGTCGTTACAGGGTTAAATGCCCGGATGAGATCTTCCGTCACGAGTCACGTGACTGTCACATGACTGTCATAGGATCGTCATATGACTTCTCAGTTTAGTCTGTCTCCAGGCATAATTCTTCAAAAAACCTGCAGGACTTTCAGGTAACTAAAATTCCCTGCTACTACCCCGAGAATCAGGCGAAGCAGAATTGTTAAGCTAGTCAAAAAGTATTTTTTTTTAGTCATCTCTATTTCTATTTTCATCATTACTTATTCATATATTTTGCTGCAAAAGGAATCCAAAAGTACTGACTTCTGGTTATCTGTTGCCCCACAAATATTCATGACATATTACGCAGCGTCGTTTTCGATGAAAATTGAAAGGCACTGCGACGTTGCACCGGGTCCCACAGACTCGCGACGAGGATCCCGCAGTCAAGGCCACTCGCGGGAGGACTGAAGGACCGTAGAGGACTGAAGGACCGTAGAGGACTGAAGGACCGTAGAGGACTGAAAGGACCGTAGAGGACTGAAGGACCGTAGAGGACTGAAAGGACCGTAGAGGACCGGCGATCCTGGGACACGGTCCGCGGCTTCCCTGGAAGCAGACTGTCGCATGCCGCAAGTCCACAAAAGTCCGCAAAGCACACGTGAACCACTTTGGCATTTGCTCGGAGTGCTTCCCGAGAATCCGGTGGAGCCGGTTCCTCGCTCGAACCGCATTTGCTCCTCTCGGATAGCATCTCCAACGACAGC